ATTTTACGTTATTTTTGGTCACTATTTCAATTTCCTATCATTACTTCTATATTCGAATGTTTTTTTGTACCTAAATTTAAAAAGTGATTATTTCCACACAAATATACATATATAATAATCTCCTAATATCCTAATAACCGCTAATTCTGACATTAATTACTGAGCAACACTAATTACTGAGCGTCACCAATGTGACGAGCTACACAAAGCCTCGTTACCGTAACCAAATTAAAACCGAAAGTTCTCTGTTTCTTTTAAATTTTTTAATTTACATTGAAAACAACAACAATTTTAATTATCAGTTTCTTTTTTTCTTCTATTCATATTTGCTATTGAGACATTAGGTTCTCATAAGAATATTTTTATTTGTTAACTAAATTTCACCTAATTTGAGTGTTGAAACATTTAAGTTATCATTATTACACCCATCAGATCTGATTTTGATTATAGACTCATGCATAGTTCTATCAAAGTACAGGAGTTTTTCTTGAAGATACATCAGCATTGCTATTGGAAAATGTACCAATCAACCGATTGTACCGAGTGTAATGTAGATTCCTGTGTATAGTTTCTTGAAAGTACAAATGTTGTCCTAAAAAAAACTACTAAGTTTGGAGAATAATTGCTACGAGAAATTATGTGATTCACTCTATTTTTTTCATCAGAAATGCCCTAAAAATATTATTACAATTATAATGTTACGATAAATTGTACTACGATCTAGATATTTATTGTGCTCTTTGCATGGATCCGGAGGAACACTCTTCGTTGGATTTTCTTTATAAATTATGGTATTGAACCTACTTTACCAAGTCTAATTTTTTTGTATCAAGTTTAAGCAACCTTTTAAGTATTTCTTTCGTTTATGAATACTAATTTATAAAATCAAGCATAAATCTTGTAACTTAAATATTTATATCAATAGCAGGAATAAATAGACTCTAATATGAAATATTTATTGAAATAAATAGACTAAAATATGAAATTGGAGAGTGAATTTATTTTTATGTTTTAAGGTCTTTGGAGCAAATCTCTGTATGATTATTAAAATTGTTAAAACCGAAATAAAAAGCATTCAACAGACTCAAAACTGGTGTCAAGACATTAGAATAAAATTTATTTAGTAAGTCGTTTTAAGTTTTAGTGATTTGTGATATTAATAAAAATGAACGGGATCTTTTATACTTCCTAGTTTTAGCTTTTTGTATTTTTTGAAGTATATCTGATGCAATACACTAATTTTATAATATAAAGCAATAAGATATTTATTCTTTTTAATAAACTTTCCTTTCATAGGTTATAAGTTAAGATAGTTTTATACTTATTAGTTTTGTCTTTTAGATTTTTTTGAACTATATCTGATGTAATACAATAATTTTGTAATGTAAAGCGGACATACATTTATTCTTTTTAACCTTTTTTTAAATAGTAATACTCCTTTCTCATCATTTTCATAAGTAATTTCAAAAACAATTTTAATATAGTTGATAAAAAAATAAATAGTTTTTCATGAGAACGATAAATGTCCCTTTCATATATCGCTTAATATTGTGATCATAGTATTATAATCTCATTAAAATCTTAATAAATATTCGAATTGCAGATTTTTCATCACCGCCCTCGTTCATGCGTTTATGCGTGAACTTTGTATTGTAAATTCTTTACTTGTTGGTACTTGAACAGTTCGTAAGTTCATATTTGCAACATGTCAGTTAAAAATACAACAAAGGAAAAAAACCAAAACCAAAGATAAAACATAAAATATACGCCAACACATATCTTTAGCATATTTGTATGTTCTTATTATATATAACAAGCATCCTTTAGCGTTTTCTTACAACCATTCGCCCTTTTTTATGGAGACACTAAATTATTCAGAAAATGTAAATCTGTGATTTTAATGTGTTTCCCAACTGTAAACATAAACCTAAATATTACAAAACTTATGCAAACAACACGACCATAAAAACGGCGTAATGTATTAAAAAAAAGTGGAAATAATAATGTAAGGAAAACAAAATAACTGAAACGGATGTAAAACCCTTATGTCATTTTAATGGGCGGAAACTGTAGCAGCTAAATAAAGTAAGAAAAAAAAAACAAAAAAAAAATTCCAAAATAAATAAATAAAAAAGCAACACTGGTATCGTACTGAAATTGCTGAAATATAATAAAAAGAAAGTAGTAAACTATATATTTGATTTAATTTAATAACCTTATCTCTGCCAATACAAAAACAAAAAAAACAACAACCTAAAGATACATGAAACTGTATACTCATATAAGGGCTAAATTTACACAAATTATCCAAACAATGACTTACCCTGTTGGACACAGAGAATAAAAGAATTGAAATATTTTATTTAAGATAGCAAAAAACCTAATTGCGTTAATTTAGCCATAATAGCATAGGAGGTACCAGCACACATAACGTCATAATAATCCTAGCATAGACGCAATCATACACACACACACACACGCATATCACACAATGGTGCCCAGACATGCAATAAAATAGTGTGAAAAGTAACGGTGGCAGCACCCTTGCTGTGAGTTGCGATATCATAACAATGTTCAAAAAAAAAAAATAAAAAAATTTCTAAAGTATAAATAGATTAAAGACCCTCAAACTCACACAGTCGAAAACAATTATTAAAATAATTTAAATGTTTGGGTTTACGTTTTAGGCTAAGGCCAAGAATCCAATAATTCAATGTGCACACGTACACTGCTCAATCGTAGTTTAATACTCAGGCATCAGGCACCCCTAAAGTGCCTGATGTCATAATTTCACTTACGTATATAACCATTCATACTAGTCACACATCTAACCCATAAATCCTGCATTCATACGCAGGGTGTGTGCCTTTTTGTTCTAGACGACCCATGGACGAAGAGAATTCTATGTATGCAAAGCAAATTTAAATAATTGCATTTACTTATGCGCCAGTTTAGTGGGCGTTGGTAATTTGGCGCCTATTATGAAAGCAATTTTTTCAATATATGAACAAACATGCAAAGGCATATATATGATTTTGTCGATTGTTTGGTCCCAGTATGTTAGTTTATAGAGAAAAAACCACATTCATATAGTATGCATAATAATTTTTGCTTATAGCTCGTTTGCTCTACAATTACATTTCTTTGCTTTTCATTTTATTACAATTATCATAAACATTTTTCCTTTCTTCTACTGCCAGATAATAATATAGCAGTAGACCGTGTGGACTTCTATTTACATACATTCATTTTTTGTTAATATTGTATTATTTCTTTTTTAAATTGCAACTGATTACGTACGGTTAGGTTGTAAGTACAATATTATACATAAAACACCTTCATTGGGTAATTAATTTGTAATTTTATGAAAATTAAATATAAAATATTTCCATTAAGTGAATTGAACATAACTTAATATTTTCTTCCACATACAAAATGTAAATGAAAAGTTATTAAGTAAAAAAAATTAAGTATATGCTAAGCCAAGTAAAAAACATTACAACATCAAGCGTACCTACAATAATGTTGAATAGATCTTAATGCAGTCATACTTTCAATTTCGAAAAAAGGCGAAGTAGCGCTTATCAGTCTAAAATAATGGACTAAGAATAGTAATACAATCAAAATTTCTGATATAAGTGATTCCCGACAGAGCATCGTTATATTGATCTTTACAAACCAACTGCACCATTATGCAAAAAGACAAGTAAATGAATATATTCTTTCGCTAAATTTCACACTGTTAAGTATTGAAAAGATTAACAAAATAAGAACAATATTGAATAGATCTATAAGTCAGTGTTGAATTGACCTGTATAACAGAGTAGAATGCATTAATATCCAGGAATGCTGGAAATTGTTATTGAACTAGATAGAAAAGGTTTGTATAATTAACCAAGAATGCTGAGAACTTTGTTAGACTAACGTCTATTAAAAACTCATGGTGCAAAATATTCTACAAAATTGTTGTTGTATATTTTTGGCTGACCATACAGCTGTTTCGAGAACTTCCAGCAAGCAATCTTTTGGAAATATTTCTTGTATTTAATTATTAAAATAATTTTTTGAGATTGCAAATACCAAGGGTTGACCTCGCAACAATTACAAATAACGATAATTACTAAAATTAGACGATAGCTGGTTAATGATTTCGTTTTAATATAACTCAACAAGTAAACTTGTTAATAAAACTTTCACAGTAAATTAACCAAATTCCAAGTTAAAACATACAAATCGAGTACAGCTTTGGATCAGTCAGATTATTAACGCTGACTCTAAGCTTTAAATTTGGCAATATATGAAAAAACAAAGATCATTGTATGCTGGTCATATTATAAAGAAGTCGGAAAACAGACAATATTTAAAAAATATTTTAATATTTTACTTAATGAATTCTTGGGCTGACCATTAAGCTGTTTCGAATTCAGCATCAGTTGCCCCTGAATACAGTAACTGGTTTCATTGTCCGTATATAACTGCAAGTGTTACAAATCGCCTTACACTTACTGTGTTGTAATTAGCACTAACACATAAACCACAGCTATATAAATTAACTTAATCATTTGTAAATTAATTTAACTCTATTGTTTTTGAAACTGTTATCAATATAAGTTCAGTACACTTAACTCAGTTCTATATAATTGCCAATTGCATATGGTATAGCAGTATTTGAAAGTTTCTACTTTTAATTTACTTTGCATATGGATTTCAGTGTAATAATTAAAGTTACTTTTGTAAAATAGTTATCGCACAAAATTTTTTGTTTCGTATTTAATTATAACTTAAAATTCTTTATATTGCATTTAATTATCTTCATTATAGAACGGTTTTTATAAAATCAGAACGTTCTAGTGTACAAATGCATTTTGAAGTTAGTACTGAAAAAACCTTATTATCTTGCATTTTGTAAAATTATTCACAACACAACTTACCGATAAAAATCCAAAATAAATATAAATATAGCTGAACCGCCCACTCTAAACGTTAGTTTATGTATTAAAATGAATTTAAGACAGTTTGTAAAGTTACAATTACTTTTAATATTTCTTAATTTGACTTCAATAGTACGGCAAGTGAGTTCAAAGGCCGGCAATAATATTGAAGATTTTGAGAATTTTGATAATGAAATTGATGTGAACGATCAAAGTGCTGAAGCAAAAACACGCAATGCGATGTCATCGCCATTCACACGTTGGCCAAATCGTACAATTGTCTACAAAATATCTCAAAACTACACAAATGAAGAAAGGCAGACTGTGCGGAAAGCACTCGATTTCTTTAATAAAAATACGTGTCTAAATTTACGTGAATATAGTCCGTCAAGGGATGGAAGTCGACGTTATTTACACTTTACACGCTCTGATCAATATTGTGGCACACGTGTGGGATACAATCCGTTAACGCCTTTCGGACCGCACGATTTGACTTTAACACCAAAATGCCTACAGATGTCTGGAATTATACAACATGAAACTATGCATGCAATAGGTTTGTTTCACGAGCAGAGTCGAACTGATAGAGATGAGTATGTGGAAATCAATTACGACAACATACCCAGAAAATTTTGGCCTCAATTTATGAAATCGTCCAATGCTATTACAAGCACTTATAATATATCTTATGACTATAATAGTATGATGCATTATTCTCAGTTTGCTTTTGCTATAGATCCAAATGTGCCTACAATTCTAGCAAGAGATGGTGAAAAATTAATTAATCGGACAATGGGACAAATTATTGAACCTTCTGTTGCGGATTTAACAAAAATACGCATTATGTACAACTGCCCAAAGGACTAAAAACAGAAATTTATTGCATAATAGTAGAATAAACTTCATAAAAACTTTCACATATAAATTTTTTTTACCTGTACTACATTCCATCATTGAAATCTTGAATAAAAAAATCGTTGGGTATATAAAATACAGTTCTTTCCAATAAAAAATAATACATAATACAAAAAAAAACTTGAAATTGATTAGAATAGAAATGAAAATTGGCTTATATATAATATATACCAACACAAATTCTTTCTGCATTTTGAGGATGCACAATAAGCCCTTTTAAATCGAACTTTTTTATTTTAATTGCTAACAAGATAAGTGTATATACATTTTTTTGAGTATAGTATTGTGTATTATGTTGCAATATTTGCAATTTTTGCAATACCAGTAAATTCCTATTGTAACCTAAAAATATTAAGCTGATTGACACCTTTTTCACCGATTTCTCTATACAAACTGGTTTCGGAGCCACAGAGCCGGCTTAATACTATTCCTTCAACGGTTGTTTTGATTCAGGATAATAATAGTTGACGCAGTTTTCTTACATTGGAACAAAACAAAACAATTGACGAATAGATGACGCTTCACAAATTTAATGAACAACCTACTTATATTTGGTAAAATAGACGGCAGTTAAAATTCCAGCTAACAGCACCGAAAATGCGAAGAATATAGTGTAGAAGCAAGTAAAAATCAAGAGAATACCTAAAAAATCAAAAAAGAAAATAATTTAAAAAAAATATTCAAATATCTGTCTAAATATTTACAATGTTAAAAAGTGCCAATTAACTGCACTAAAAATACAGAATAAAAATTTGGAAATAATTTTTGTATGAGAAGTCTTTCTGTTAACAATTTCAATTTTGTATTATATTGTCGGTGGAAGGTATAATAAATAAAGGAGTACAATGAAGAATTCCATTGTTTTCCACACGAGCAGACTTATCTTGTATAATTTTATCTAGTCTCGTTGTCTTTAAAAAATTTAGATTTAGCATTACTCATAATTTTCTTGATATTCAGTATATATCCAGGTATTGTTCTCTATTATGTACAAGTGCATAAATATTCTCCCATTAAAATCTCTGTGACTTATTTTCGTCGCAGAGTTCATGCATGAGTTTCGATGCATAGCCTGCGCTTATCAGCTGTCCTCCAAGTTGCAGTGGTTTGTCAATAGCACGGTTAACGTTCTTAATCTGTTTAGCTTTTATACATATTTAATAGTATTTTAAATTGTCTCAAACCTGTGAAGTTTGCAAATATTCTTTTGTCCAACTTGATCCATTAGCATTTACCACCTTTAAAAGAAAAATAATATTAATTATCAAGTTATATATTTCTATTTGAGCCACTGCTCTTGAGCGCATTTATTCTTTCTCAACTCGAGGTATTTTTAACACACCTCTTTACGCCTTGACTGGATTATTGTTTATCACTTCATCAGACTAAGCAATAATAGACCTCAGATCTGCACACCTCCCCGAGGAACCTGTAACCATTCTGAGATTTGATAATTATCATAAGTTATAAGTTATTTATAAGTAGCTGCAATATACTATTTACTATACTTATGTTTATATTTCAGACATATTTATGTAAAATTAAACTTGATTAAAAATTCCAAATCACTTAATTTGTCAATTTAATTGAATGACTTTCAAACTTTTGAGATACTCGTATAAGGAATGACATAATTAATGTGTTAACACATTAAAAGGTTACTGAAAAATACGTTATAATTATATATTTAAATTCACTAAAACCCTTTTGAAAAGATTCACTCATAAACTTAACAAGCATATAATTACACTCGTATCGCTTTGCATTTCTAAAATTGATATGCAGAGAAGAAATAGAGAAGCTGAACTAGAACCCTTCTGAAAAACATATTATTGATGTGGTACACTCGATGCTTTTAACATATGATGAAGGTACGTACATACTATCAACAAAAGGGATGATGTTTATCTCAATTTGTTGTGCGTGTTACGTATTCAAAAGGGGAAAAAATAATAACTCAAAGATACTTGAAGCTATTATGAAAACTGAAATGTTGAAATGTTAGTTTTTAGAATATTATAAAAATCTGTTTCTTAATATATGCATAAATGTATGCATATGTTTTACTTGTCTATGCTAATATTAAAAATTTTTTTAAATATATAGTATACGCACTATTATTGTAAACTGTTTTTATATATATTATTTTGAAGTTTTATTTGAAATTTTTTATTAGTTTTCATGTATTTCAAAGTACAAACGTTAATATTTTTATTAAGTCATTGCACCCCTTTCTTTGACGTTTGGAGTATTAACTTTAAAGGGTATTTATATATGCACGCAGCGGGTATTTTATGTAAATTTTATGTAATCACATTAGTTATATTGCACAGTGAAATGTTATTACATAAATTATTACCCGTATTCGAAAATTATATACGCCATTTAAGCACAAAATCGTATTAGCATATTTAATGCCCAATAATTTTAATGGCACATAACTAGCATTTAATTTGGTTTTTTTTTTTATGTTGACAATAGAAATAATAAAACTAGAAAATTTCTTGTTCTTTACTTTCTGATATTATCACACAGTAGAGTTATTATTATAATTACAAAAATTGGTTTAAGAATTTATGTAACGCTTAAAAAATATTTTTGAGATATTTTTCTCTCTGGATTTACTGCATTATAGTATAAAATAAAAGTATATTGCGCTACATGAGAAGTACTCAACATAAAATAATTTCACTTGGATTCGGTGGTTTTATTCATTATAAAGAACAAGTATGCTTATTACAATATTCAACAATCTCAATGCTTAAATATGATGTATTCGCATACTTAACATTATATACAATTAAGTAAGAACATTGCTATCTCCTGCATGTATAGGTAAAGTATTATCGTACTTCCATAGAGTACTGTTTTACGCTCAACTAGTGGAAAATTTGTTTGAAATGCATCAATATGCAAAATTAAAGCTTCTCGAATTTTTATATACTCTTGTTATGTACTATAACGTTATAGTATGCATTGTTTTACAGTAATTAACGCATCACTACGTGCAATTGGGTGCATCTATCTTAGTTAAAATACGTTACGCACGCATTTGCATATCTGCAAATTACACATATTCAAAATTGAAATGCGTTCCCAACAAAACTTCATGCTGCTAGCATACACTTTTTTTCTTTTTCTATTGAACTGCTATAGCCAACATGACTGATAATATCAGATTAAGAGAGCTTTATAATGACGCTATAACAAACCGCCATAGCTGCTGCTTCAATGCCTTGCTGCTTCACAAATTTTTATACTCCGCCAAATGTATTTCACTTATTCATTCGTAGATAGATGCTGCTGACTTTTGCACTGTTTTCATTGGTATTAACTCAGTCATTGCAGTCGCTGAAGCCATTAAATCCATTGAAGCCATCAATAAAACAGAATTTCTGGTTGCCTTAAACATTCATTCACCACGCAAAAATATTTATAATTATCATTAAAACGCTCATTAACAGTTTTTACTTAACAGAAATATTTGAGTCGAACTTTATTTCGAGCATTAATATTAATAAAAAATATATGAAAAAAAAATTGTTTAATATAAAATAGTGTTGAATTTTGATTAAAATTAATTTATTTTTATATAATTATTTTCGGTAAATTTCATAATAAATTTCGCAACAAAAAATGACTTTCGATTTTATAAAAAGAAGTAAAAAGTTTATTACTTAAATATTGGATGAATAACTTTAGCCTTAAGTAAATATTCACATTAAGGTTAATTATATTGTAACTTTGGGCGTTTAAAAGGTCAACATTTTTTCCAAGGCTATTTCCCGGAGGGATACTATAGAACGCCCATCTATATAACATTTTATAAAAATTAATTTTTGTAAATATATTCGTCAGTATATAAATTCAAAGCGAAGAAGCACCATGATTTTCCGCCATCGAATCAAAATAAAAAATATGTAAATAAGTAATTTCATATATATACATATATAAATATATAAAAATATATACTTATGTATTTAAATGAACCATATTGCAAATAAAGAAAAAGTTCCGTCATGTTCTTGGCATCAATAAAATGCGCTTGAACAACACAAATTGTGGCCACAGTTCATAAAATTATTTATTAAATAATAATTATAAAAAATGAATATAATAAATTTATCCCAAATACACTGCTTATATAAAAGTAAGTCTAGAATATTAACGTGTTCCCACTATGGCAAAATCAATTTATGTTAATCAAATTAAGATTTATCTGTTTCCATTGGCATAAGTTAATTTATCCATGCGAAAGAACTTTTATGTGACAGTAAGTTCTGTTCTCTTTTATCACGACAAAAAGGAAGAAAAGGAGAAAAAGAAGAGGGGAACACATTCTACGTCACTGTGATGGTCTCGCTAGACTCAGACTTCAGTACTTATCAACTGTCCATCCATTTATAACGGAAATAGGCAATATCTCTCCAAAGAACATAATGGTATTTTTAACTACTGCGTGCCTAAGAAACTATAGTGGATTTGTCTTAATAATCCTCAAAGGATGCAATGACGTGGTGACATAGTTTTTAACTTTTTCTAAATCTAAAATAATTTAACTCAACAACCAATGTCTTCACACAAAGTATTCCTTTTAGATTTCGTAATTTACTAGATGTTGTCAGTAAACAAATAATTGATTATTCTACAATAAAAATGGTTGTCAAACAAACCACATTATATAGATTTTTTTAATTGTAATCTGTTTTTTTTTTTTTTTTATTTTTAGCTTTTTTACTGATCACATTCTTTTAAGATCGTATATTAAATTTTATAATACTAACATTCTATTCGCCTTGCATATATTTTGTTAATGCTATTGAGCTTAGACGAAAAATACAAATAATACGAGTAAAAGTCCCAATCTTGTATTAACCTCTGAATACATAGTGAATACTCTTTACGTTTTGCCGCTTTTTTTGTAAATATATAGTGCACCCACCTTTGCATTA